GTCAATGTTCAATGTTTCGATGATATGTTGTGTTGTTCTTCCTCTAGTGGTGTCGTGTGAACGTCAACTACATGACACTTCACCTTCTTTGGGCCTAGGGAAAGGCATTCTGGAATTTGTTTGTAGATGATGGGTTGCGGGAGTGACTGAAGCCTAAACCCCAGTCCGTGAACTGTTCCGTGAGGGGCTGTTTTGGATCCATATGTTTAATGCTATGGTTAGATTTATCTTAACTACTTCTCTTGTACCGGTGGATGCTTGCATGGAGAGTATAATCATAAGTAGGTGTTTGTTCAAGTAGGAATTTCACCTTAGCTCCGGTCCACCCACATAACAACTTATCAAGGCAATGAACGTAAGTTAATAAAATCATGGTGAAAGTAACTAGACATTATCACCGTGTGTCCTCAAGAGCGTTTTAATCACTAAAAGAAGTTCCACTGGCTTGTACTTAGCAACATTAAGGATTGGGCCACTTTTTCACCTTATTACTTTCGTTACTTGTTACTTTCTACCAATTATCTTGCTATCAAATTATCTATCAAAACTATCCTACAAGGCTTGCAGAGAATACGTTGCTGAAAACCGCTTACCGATTCATTCTCCTCCTCATTCGGTTTGACACTCTTACTTATCGAAAGGATTATGATCGATCCTCTATACTTGTGAGTCATAAGATATTCATGAAGTAGGTGATCTCCTTGCCCTTACAGACTTCTTTGTTCACTCCACAAACTTTGGGGGCTTTCAAGTGACACCAAACCAATCTAGGAGACACCACTCTCCAAAAGGTAATAGATGTTTTCGTTGATGATGAACTCCTTGATCTTGTGCTTCAAAATATAGTCTCCTCAACACTCAAACTCTCTCTCACAAATTTAGCTATGTGGTAGGAGAGGGATTTGGGTAGAAAGTAACTTGGGGAGGCTAGAGATCAAAGTTCTATTGTTGGAGAGGAAGGCCTTTGATTCCCAATGAAAGAATATGTGGTTCTCTATCAGAAAATGTATATGGGAAGTGTAAGGTTAAAATAGATTTCTCTATGAGAGTTAGTGGATGGGTGGGGGTATTTATAGCCATCACAAAAAATCCAACCGTTACACACCTTTATGCAAACTTTGGTGGGACCGGGGTGAAAACACTCGGTGAGACTGACCCATGCAAAAGGTTTGTACTTTAGGCTTTTCGATGAGACCGAATGAAACCTCTCTGTGGGACCTAGGTAAGTGACCTAAGCACCATTCACACTTCGGTGTCACCGATTGAAACTGATCGAAAATTCCGAGTTGATTTCAATTGGTAATAGAAGGTTGAGAGTAGGTTGCAGAGATTATTGGGTCGGCCCAGGAGCGTGCAACAACTGGTGCTGAAGATGCTGTATAGGAGGTCCTGAATAGATACCCCTCGCTTCTCCCCCTATTCGACCTAGTTGTTGCAGCCGGCCGCGACTACCACAATCTCTACCAGCACAGCAACACCTCCAACCGTCTAGCCTTCCATTGGTCCCATTCTTTCGGCTGCTATGCTCGCGGCCTCGTCCTCGTCGCCTCGTGAGCTCGTCGCCGACGCTGACCACTGAATTGGGGAATAGGTAATTTTCGGCACTAATTTAGAACGAGTCCACACCACCGGTTGCTATATCCCTATTTATTTACTCTGATTTAGCATATATTAGTATACATTTAGTACATTGCATTGCAAAAATAATAATTACAATCAATACCAGCACTAAAATCGTGGCTCCGCCACAGGGCTGAGGTAATACGACAACGAAATGTTGCAAAATATCTGCACGAGAAATATCTGTTTGCATGCGTCGACCTCGGTCGACAATGGATCGTGCTACCGTGAAACATCCGAGCTAACAGCTTTGTCCGTCGGCTATGCTGCTCCACCAGCATTACTTGGTTGATCCATCCAACTGCTACTTATCTGATTCCACCCAGAACATAAACAGTGGTACGTGCACCACGATATTTCGTTTCCCCAATAATTGCAGGCTCGCATCCGGCCAGGCCCAAAATGAATGAACGGATGTTCTCATCATTGGCTATTTTCCTCTACTCTAGAGTAATATTGACGTGCATTTTTACTATATTGTTCTTACGAAATTGGGAGCCTTTACCAAACTCGTACTGGATTTTTGCTGTAAAAATGAAACCAGATATGCATGACTAGCAATCGAAGTTAGTACGTCGATCATCATTTGGTCCATGGATGTCGATGAACTCAGCAGACACTGATGACAGATAATATTAATAATCTAAGCTAGCTAAGATAAGCCAGGAGGAGATCCTTGGCCTGGTCGAAAACCGAGCGACAGGATCCAGCATAAGAACGCCCACGGAAGTTGCAGAACTATCTGGAAAAACTGGCAACGACGATCATACACGATCGACTGATTGATCGGTTGGTGTTAAGCACAACGTACGCCCGCGTGTATACTTTTTTTTTTTCTGTTTCTGCATGATATATGGACATCAATCTCTACCAGAAACATTGGTTTCAAACGTAAAAAAAATTGGTTTCAAATCAGGCGGTTCTAACCAGGAATTAGCTCATTCTTGTCACTTTTATTAAGTCGAAATAGGGCAATAATACGTGGGTGCATTTGCGTCCGAGTACAAAAGTCCAAACCAGCCCGATCGAAAACAAAATGCATGCACGGCCAAGGGAAGGGATCCGACCTACGTTCATTATTGGTCGGGTACGGGGAAGGTCGGACCCAGATAGACTCACATCATGTCGCGCTAGTCTTTTTTTTTTGGAAACCGCCCTCATGGCATTTTATTGATTATTAGTAAGCGGTACAACTTCTGTCGCGCTAGTCCGCCCCCACGAAACGCACCCTGCGCCAAGGGGACGAATCGCAGAGCCATGTGACGACGGGACCACCCATGCTCCCACCTCCAAGGGTCCTCACCTACGTGGCTAAAGCACAGGCGAGGCTTGGCTTTTCTCCCGTGCAACGGGGGCCCGCGAGAGCTTGGAGGCTTGTGGAGCGCATGCATGGAGCCACGTACCACGTCTAGAATCTCAAAAAGGAAGAGAAAAAAATTACGACGTCTAAAAATGTAGCCATTGGTGTGTCCTGGCCCTCCCTGCTCCACCCCCACCTACCGAGTAGTACTATTTTCTTGCCATTGGCTTTGGATACTCTAACTAAGTTAGAGGCTAGAGTTAGATTCTAACTCTAAACTAACCTTGAACTAACTCTAACCAAAGTGGTGTTTGGATAGTAAGGTTAGATTGACAATAAATGCTCCTTCTCAATCATTTGGCTACTTTAGACCCTATTTTCTGCCGGATTTGATGTGGCCGGCTCTTGTGTGGCCTCCTCCCGCTCACAATTGACATAAACGAATCATGCTTACAAATCAAGCATGCAAAACTTGATAAAAAAATTGTCCATACAAATGAGATGTCCCACTTAAACATAACTTAAACATACAAGTCGTCAATCGAAGCTTCAAAAAATATTACACTCCATAAAATAAAGCATGAGCTAACTCATCACGGAAGGCATTCATGTTGATATCTTCAACAAGAGGTTCGTCTTCTGGCCATGCGGATGCAGAAGAACTAGGCATTGGGTTATAATTTTCATCTGCATCACAAGCATCAAATTCCCTATCCGCAATTCTGCTCTCTCGAATGAAATTATGAAGAGCCATACAGGCAACAATAATTCTACTTTGCTTGTCCTCTGGAAATTTTGGCATGTTCAATAAAATCCTAAATTTCATCTTCAACACTCCAAAGGATCGCTCAACGACATTCCTAACTTTGGCATGTGCATGGTTGAAGGTTTCTTTCATACCTTGTGGCGGCGGGCCATTTTGCCATTGTTGCACATGGTACCTTGTACATCTGTATGGTGAAAGGTAGCCTGGCCGGTTTGGGTATCCCGCATCAACCACATAATACTTCCCTACATATTATGAAAGGCATAGAATGAGACTTAGATGAACTAGTGTAGTTAGATAAAAAATATTGCAAGACAGTTCAAGTCGCAAACTTGGTGGTGGATGTGGAAATTTGTCTTGATGAGTAGTTACGGCATCTTTGAAAACTCTCATGTCATGTGCTGAACCAGGCCATCCCGACATCACAAATGTAAATCTCATGTCGAAATCACAAACAGCAAGCACATTCTGACTGGTTTCATTGTGCCTGTTCAAGTATGGAACCCTCTTACTCTTATCCACCACAACATTCACATGTGTCCCATCTATAGCTCCTATGCAGTCATAGAAGTGTGGCCAGAATACTGGATTTTCTAAGTTTGGGTGCACCTCTGAAAATGTTGGATCCTTAGGTACAATTATGTCATGTGCTAACCTGAGGAGGCATGCCAAAACTCTATTAAATGTCCTATTTACTGTCTCCATAGACCTTCTGAAACGGTTCTCAGCCTGTCTAACTGACTGTGGTGATCCAACAATCCATAAAAACATAGCTAGAGCCTCTACAGATGTCATTTTTGTAGTGGACTTCAAGCCATATGATTGCACCAAAGTAGTATGTAGCCTATTAAACAAAGGTCTCTCAACCCTAAACATGTTATAGCATTGGGTATCTCGGGCTAGTGTCTCCTGCACCCAATCCAAACCAGAATATCCACTGACCCTCCTAGGTAGTTTCACAAAGTAGTTATCAGAGTACATACCCAAGATAGGAACCAACTTCAAGATTAAATTCTCGGACTGCACCAAATTGTTGCGGCACATGGATATGATCTCATCCTCACTTGTGCTACCTCCATCATATTCTTCTTCCTCAGTCATGGGGACATGATCTTCTTCCTGCTTCAACACATGTACCAAATCGTCAACACATAGCATAAAACTTGAAGGAATGTAAGCAAATGAAATTAATTCGGCCCGCAGATAAAACAAAATAGGTTCAACACAAATAATAGTTCAACGCCTCACAAACACATGACAGGTTCAACATACAACAATTTAAATAGGTTCAACATCTTAACACACACTTCCCAACTACTCCAAATTGTTGTCTCTGCACCATTTCTTGAAGTAACCCAACCTAAGCTCAGGAGTTAATTGGCCACAAAAGAACTCCCTTTGGTACTCCGTTTCGAACATCTTGGACATAGCATAGACAGAGTCAACCGTTTGCTGAACACCGCACTCAAATGCCAGCTCCTGACACCTCTTCACAGAAAATGCAGCCTTCTCATTTGCACGTTTCTGCATTTGCTTAGTGTTGGCTGCCGAACGTCGCCGCCACTGAACGCCGTGCCAGTGCGCTGGTTACGGCGGCTGGGTGCCGCGGCGGCCGAGTTGGCGCGCTGCCGAACACCGCCGCCTGCCCCCGACGACGACCCGCCAAGGAACACGCCACCGTTTCGTCCTCCGCGACCGGCTGCCGCCGCCGAGGAGCCGCCGAAGTTCAGTCGCCGGGCGTAGGGTGGGCGATAGGGAGGGAGCCCGGAGCCCCTGACGCGCCCAGGGAGGAGCTCGTCATCATCGCTCTGGAGGAAGGCTCCGTAGAGCCCAAGCCCCGGGAACCCCTCCAACACCGGTGCTTGCGAGTTGAGGTCGAGACCGGCATGGGTAGCAGGGCCGCTTGCCGATGGCTGCGAACCCCAAACGTCGAAGCCGTCTCCATCCATTGCGGGTGCTCTACTCCAAGCTATACTACCTGCACCAGAAGAGAAGAATCAGTAGCACATCCAGGAAAGCACAATGGAAACACGCAGAAAGAAGAGAGTAAGGAGACCGGAGTAATATTCGGGAACACATGAAAAGATGGATAAAATATATAGGTTAAGATAACCAACTTCTACGACAAACAACTATACATAGGATTGTGATACACAGGACATTTATACAAGCATGCGGTTCCACTTTTACACAAGCATTTTATAACAACCATTGTGATACACAGGACAGGAGTAAATATACACATTTTAGGCAAAGCAATGTAAGTAAATATAAATAGCAAAGAACAACCTCAGCCCCCACCTTTTCACATGCCTGTATTGCAGCCATTTAGCAATGATAGTAGAAAACGAAACACAACAGAAGGAATTGAGGTACAAAGTATCCTATAAAATCTAAGCCATAGTAGCCCGGAACGCGGGTCGACGCCGCGTCCCGTGTACCGTTCCCATGATGACCGGACGTTGCAGGTATACAAGGAATGAAAAAACACAGCGTGGCCGTAACTGTAGGCAAGATAATTTAGGAACAGAAGGCCAGAAAGGACGTAAATAACAGCAGTCCTCTAATACCGGATGGACTTCCTTAATTTGCTCTTGCCTTGAACGATATTGCACTCTTTCCTTAATCTGTTTTTGTTTCCATGTACAATAATAGTCTTCCTTCTTCAGGAAATTCATGAATTAGACTGGCCATCTAGCAACCAAAACACATGACCGAAATTACAGAAATTCATGGAATAAATTGTCCATCTAGCAACCAGAGAAGGAACCCTCGAACTCACCCCTAGATGCGCTGCGAGCGGCGGTCGGAGAAGGGCGAGCGGCGGCCGGTGAGGAGGGAGCAGCGGGAGCGGCGACCGAGGGAGGGCGAGCGGCTGACGGAGGAGGGCGAGCGGCGGCCGGTGAGGAGGGAGCGGCGCGAGCGGCGACCGGAGGAGGGCGAGCGGCTGACGGAGGAGGGCGAGCGGGGCCGCAGGAGGGCGCTCCCGGGGTTCCGGCGGCGCGGCGCTGCGCTTGGGCGAGCGGCGCAATGGGGAGGAGTCGTGCGAGGTGCGTGGAGAGGAGGGATCTGGTGCGGGAGGGGTGAATTTTTTTACTATTTTTTAGTGGGCCCAGAAAAACTAACCCAAATAAGCTCCTCTAGTGTGGGTAGTTTTTTGGGTGGGTTAGATCCAACTAACCCAAACTAACCCATCATGTTTGGATCCTTTTGGGTTATTTGAGCCCAATCTAACTATATCTAACTCTAACTTAGGGATCCAAACAGGGCCATTATTTGTTTTTAGGTTTCTGCGTTGCTGGTCCCTCTGAACAGTGATTTGGTCCTTGTGGTTGCATTGCCTGCTCGGATTGAAACAGTGATTTGTCATCGTGCAATATGCATGCAGTGCGTCTCTGTGTGTCCAATTATCAATTGCTATCGTCTTATCCGCACATGCTTTTCAACCTACTTCTTCATTCTTTGGACTTGCTAGATTAAGTATACTGCATTAGGGCATCTTCAACACTGGCCCGTGAATTGGGCATCACATCCGTCCGCAAACGAGGAATCAGTCTACGGACATTGATATAGGAGTCGACCATCCAAAGATATCTGCGTACATCTATATCTATACCAATATACCAATACAAAAAGACCCAAAGAGACAGATCCAACTGATCTCGGCCATCAAACTAAGTCAATCCAACGACCTAAACTGCTCCAATGACGAGCATTCAACGTGTTTAATGTGCAATTAATATCATACCAAGTATTGCACTAATCACAGAATTAACACACAAATAATACCTAACATCCACGTGCAATTAATATATTGCGTATATATTAAAGTGCATTGCACGTGCGTATTTACTAGTTCTAAATAGTATTCAAACAAACCGAACAAAATGTAATCAAACACGACAAAATTCATTAATGTTCAATTATAATTTACATAAACGACCGATATTTCTAAATTTGTACTAAAAAGTAAAAACTAAAAAAAACTACAGCTTGTACCGGACGACCACCCATATATAGTTTGTCTTTCTCTAACTCATATTTTGAGCAATACACACTTTTTAGAGGAACACATATTATATTGGCCTTCTAAGTTTTTCGCACATTCTGGCAATCGATGCCATTGGGGAGAAGTTTCGAGAGTTTTGTTGCATTATCTGGATTTGTTTTAAAGCATTTGCATCTCATGCTCATGCATTAGGTTGTTGCTTTGCATGATTGCGCATAATTCCTTATATAAACACTCTTAAAAGTGATTGTCATCAATTATCAAAATGAAGGAGATTGAAAAAGCATGATGCCCCCATGTGTGGTTTTAGTAATTAATGACATTCTCTATAAACTAATGGTTGTCTTGAGTTATGTTCCTTTGATTTGGCCATAGTCATTTCTTGAAGTCCATTCGTTAGTTTTAAGGAGTTTATGTGTTGATCAATGTGTTATTCAAGGAATTATCAAAAGATTGGTCATAGAGAAGACATGATACGAGGTTGATCAAGACTAAGTCAAAGAGTGAATCAAGTTGATCAACACACAAAGCGTGCAAGATGTACCAAGAGGGATCAAGTGATCCCATTGTATGGTAAGCATTGTCCATTACGCTTTGTGTACTAACCCATGGTCTACGTGAGAGTTCTATATGGAGTTAGGTATGTTTCCATGGGTTTGCGTCAAGAAGAAGATCTCATACAACCCATGGTGGGTGATATCAAGTGGTGATCATCATCAAGGTTGAGGTGTGCAAGTTCAAATGGAGCATCACAAGGAGATCTTGCTTGAAGCTTGCCGTCAATTGTGGTAACAATGGGCTTATGAAGATGTGCCGAAGAGTGGCTCACCCATAGTGGAGTATGGGGGAGCAATCAACTAGTCCTCATCGAGCGAACGCAATCAACAAAGGTGGTCCATCTTGAGGAAATCAAGATCCTCATCATCTGGCTCAAGTGGACTATGTGCAAGGCGAATGTTTGCCCTTGATAGCTTTTCTATTTACCGGTCTCATGGTGGTAGTTGGGAGACAGGGTTATAGGTTCGATTGTCATACTATCAAGGGGGCTCTCAAGTGAGTAGCTTGATCGTATCGTTCGTAAATGGCTCACACCATTGCATCCTTGCATCATCTTTCTTGGTTCTTATTTGGATTTTCTCTCTATGAGTGTCAGATCTTATGGTCATCTTCATGACAAGCTTGAGTTCATCAAAAACGGAGTTCACATATGCATCTTCTATGATGTTTTCGATGATGGAGTTTATGCCAGTTCTTCATCGATGGAGGTTTCACATCTTTATATCATAGGCATAATATCTGTTGCCACTTCTGAAGATTTCCAATCTTGATTTGGCAACTCTTGTCTTTAGCTTTCTATCAAGCTTGAGTTCGTCGAAATTGGAGTTCGTTTGCAGAAGTTATGGCAGTTTTGGTCTTCTCCCATCCTTTTATTTTATATGGGCATTTTTCAGTTTGAGCGGTAGTACCTCTCCTCGAGCGGTAGTACCGCTTAGGAGGTACTTCCGCTGACCAGCACCGCTTCCACTTCCGCTTATTTTTATACTTCTGTTACCCAATCTGCTTGAGCAGTAATAGAGCGGCAGTACCTCTCTAAGTGGTAGTACTGGTCCCTCGAGTGGTAGTACCTCTCAAGTAGTACTATCTCTCCCCCGAGCAGTACTACCTCTCTGTAGGAACTACCGTTCGTGTTTTTTTGTCTCGTTGGGCTGTTTTGACCGTGCTATGCATGACTTGTGGACATAACGGTTGGATTCGAGAGGGGGCCCATTTAAGGGGGGCTTCTTTCCTAATGGTCCTATCCTTCTAGCTTGTGTTCTTCCTCCATTGTTGACCTTCTTCGAGCTTGCTTTCTCTCAATCCCTCCATGGATTATTGCTAGTTTTGGGGGGAAAAGAGAGAGGAGATCTAGATCCATATTCCCACCAATCACTTTCTCCTCTATGTGACGGGAACCCCTTGGATCTACATCTTGGAGTTCTTTGTGTTCTTGTTCTCGTTCTTCCTCTCATATTCCTACATAGCTTTCGTTGCTTTGGTGGGATTTGAGAGTGAGGGACTTGGCACTCTGTGTGCCCTTGCCATTGCACTAGTTGCATCGGTTTGAGTTCTCCATGGTGATACGTGGGAGTGAAAGTTGAGAAGCCTATTACTCTTGGGTGCTTGGTACCCTAGAGATTGTTCCTCTTGGGTGCTTGGGTGCCCTAGACGGTTGGTGGTGCTACGGAGCTCAATCATTGTGGTGTAAAGCTCTGGGCTTGCGTCGGGGTCTCCAATTAGGTGGTGAAGATTACCCCGAGCAATTTGTATGGGTTCTGGTGATGCCTACAAGGGTTGACAAAGTGTACGGGTTCGGTGACCGCCGCAAGGGTTGCCATTTGTACGGGTTCGGTGACCACCCACAAGGGTCCCTTAGTGGAATCACGGCATCTTGCATTGTGTGAGGGCGTGAGGAGATTACGGTGGCCCTAGTGGCATTTTGGGGAGCATTGTCCCTCCACAGCGCTCCAATCGGAGATTAGCA